TGCATCTCCGATGAGGCCTTACATAGTCTGTACGCAGAGGATACTGCCACCCTGTAGCAAGAGCAAGGGAGCCACTTCTAGCTCAAAGGGTTCAGGGGAATCTAGGCTGGACAGTGAATTCAGTCTTCTTAGTAATTTGCCTGCTTTCATAATCTGAATTTGTGCCTGATTTTTAGCACGATCTGCCTTCAAGTTGTAGGAGCTGCACCTACCTTAAAATGCTGCCACGGAGGTCTGGCTGCCACCATGCTTCAGAGTTGATATTTATCTGATTTCAGCCTTGGCATTTTCTTTCTTCTGTGCATCAATATTACTTAATGAAACCCAACCAATTTAATTGTCTTTAAAATTCCCAGCGCCCCATCTCTCTCAAATGCTAAGGCTATTGTATAAGCCTTTTCCATGTCCCTTCCTAGCTCCACCGCAGTGAGAGTCTCCGTAACATCCATGCAGCAGCAACCAGGGGTTCTCAGCAAGCCATTCTCTACGGCACTGGGATCCTAGGCATCTGGTTGGCAGGTGGCCTACTTACACAGTCCATCTTGAAGGTCTGTTTTACAGGAGCCAATCTGTGTTACTTTGGGCACCCTAGATGCAAATGCTGCTAGGTGGACTCAAGTGCAAGTTTTCTGGGGGGGGGTTTGCTCAGTTTCTTGAATTTGTAGGTATGTCTTTCACCAAACTTGGTAAGTTTTCAGCCATTGTGTCTCCATGTATTGTTTAGCACCACGTCACCACACTCCTTTTCTTCTTCTGGGATTTTATGACATGATGAATATTAGACTCTTTGCTTTTGTACAGCAAATCCCTGAGGGTTTATTCCTTTTTGTAAAAAGAAATCTCTCTCTTTCTCTCTATTGTTTTTTTACTGTTCAGATTCGATAATTTGTTTGTCTATCTTAAACTTATGTTTGTCATCTCCATTCTGCTGTTGAGTCCCATCTTATGAGTCCCCCCATCAATTATTGTATATTTCAGTTCTAACATTTACATTTGTTTCATATCTTTTGTTTTAAGAGTGTTTGTGATTGCACATTTGAGCATTTTTATAACAGCTGCTTTAAAGTCTGTCAGATTACTCCAGCGTCTGTATCATCTTGTCAGAGCATTTGTTGTCTTTTTCCTTGTGAGTTAAGATTTTCTTCATTCTTTGTTTGCCAAGTAATTTAAAATTGTTTCCTGGACATTTTGAACATTATGTTATAAGGCTTTAGGTCTTTTAAAAATCTTTCGGAAGATGATATTTTTGTTCTAGCAGGCACTTGACGTGGTTAGGTTTAGTCCACAGATTTCTGTCTACCTTCTGTTGGCTGTATTCTAATGGGAGTTTAGTTTTCAAAGTCTTTTCAGTGCTGTTAAATCTGTGCCACGTGTGTGTCTCCCACTTGTCAGCCTGGGACCTAGGTAGAGGTCTTTTTGTAGCTGAGTTTTCAAAGCTGTTGGTGTGATAATTAAGAGCAGATCCCCATATATGCAGGTTGGAGAAGATTCTGGTATTTCATAAACAGCAATATGGGATTGCTTTCCTGAACTGCTGCTCAGCTATCACCCTAGTGATTCCCTCCTATTCTGTTCTCTGGCTAGAAACTGATCACTTTTGCAATTGCACCATAATGGCAGAGGATAGAGAGAGAGAATATCAATGGGGCCTCTCTTGGAACTGCAGCCAACTGAACAGAAAAGATTCTTTTCCTTACCTTTTTGACTCCTGTAGTTTCTCAGGCCAGCTGCCTTTGCTGCTTTTGCTGTCACCCCCACTTTAGGATTGCCTTTGGGCTGGGGTGGGAGACAATGAAAAGAAAGGAGAGGAAAAAAAGACCTGGAAAATTTCTCCCGCTCTACCCCTAGGCTTGCCCATCATTTAAATAATTCTCTCTCTCTAGCTTTCTTGTAGTTGAATTTGTATTAGCTAACTGTGAGTATAGTACAACTCCATTATAAACTACCCCTAGGCTTTGGTATCTTTTCTTCTCTTCAAGCCAGAACTGGAGGGTTTCTCCTGGATTTCTGTGTGTGCACCACAGTGCTAGGCTTGGGGGTTGTACTCTGTGAAGTTTAAGCCAGGTGATACAAGAGGGAAAAAATGTATAATCACCGCCTTTTCAGTGGTGCTTTGAATTCTGTATTTTTTCCCCATGTGCCTGCTGATATGTACTTTTCACAGACCTCAAACAGCGCCAGCATACATTCTGCTCATGTTTCTAGTTATTGGTGGAATAAGGGTGTTATGTGCTCACTCCATCTTACTAGGTTGGGGCTGGGTTTTTAGTACCTCATTTCAGTCAGTCATCAGCTGCAGCTGTCTGTTGCCCTCTGTAGAGGGGGTAAGTTACTTCTTAGGCATTTCTTGGTTAGAGAGTATTCACTCAGCTGAAGGCTGTTCACCAGAGAAGCGTGCAGCTATGATGGGGAGTTAGCAGTCAGCATGCATGGCATCGGGGGTCTGGCAAAGGTCAGGCCACGGAAGGGTATCTGGGCAGGGCAGGAACAGCTCTGCTTTTACAATGTTTTTTCCTTACTTGCATTTTGACTTACTTGTCAAGTGTTTTTTAAAGAAACACTTTGTGCTTTATTAGTTTCAAAAAGTCCAAGGACTTTCTTAGAAGGAAAGAAATAGTCTATCATGTTATTATTAATTACAAACAAGATTCTCCCCACTAGATTCATAGACTTCCTGTGCAGCAGTGGCAGGGCCATAATTGTAATAACGAGAGTAGCAGCTACCACTTGGCTTGTGCTTATCTTGGGTCAGGCACTGTCTGTGCATTTAATCCTCTCACAAGCATATGAGCTACATGAAGGTGAAGACTTTGTCTCTTATTCATTACAGTATTTCCAGTACATCTAGATGTGCCTGCCACTTAAGAGCTGCTCAGTAAAAATTGTCAACTGAAGGGTAATGAAGTACATGTAATTTTCATGCCATTTCAGCAACGAGGAATAAATCTTAGAATGATTAAAGCACTTGCCCAAGGATAGACTTCCAGTAATGGAACTGGAACCCAGACCCACAGGGGATGATGATCTTTATTGTTTTGATGGTGGGAACATGCTTACCTAATTGTAGCAGACATACCTAGTGGTGCAGTATTAATTACTGTGGCTTTAGGTCAGGTTGGCAAGCTTTTTCTTGAAGGACCAGGTAGCATTGTTTTAGACCTTGCATGACAGTTGCTGTCTGTTACAGCTGCTCAGTTCTGCCATTGTAGTGTGAAGGTATTCAAAGGCAATACATAAATGAGTAGGTGTGGCTGTGTTCCAGTAAAAATAGAAGTTTTATTTGCAAAAACAGGTAACAGGTCAGCTCTGACCCAGGGTAGTATAGTTTCTTTGGTTTGGCAACTCATTTTAGGTGAATTCTGCTACCAGGGCACATATTCAAACATGGAGATGGGGGCTCTGAAATGGTGTGGTGGTGCTTGTGGTTTGGTGGTCATCCAGGTGATCCAGAATACCTATTGATTTTTTTTTTTCAAGATTTTTCTGGAAATCAAGACAATTTAGAAAATTGTCATGAAGAACTTAGGGATAGATCTCCAGAATTCTTAGACCCTACTTTGAGGAAAAGTGATGTAAAGAAATAACAAAAGTAGAATAAAGATGTAATAATTGAAATATAAATGACATTATGATATTCTTTGTTTTAATCTATGTAGCATTTAAAATTTATATTACCTAGTGAGAGAACAAGATTGGGGAGGAGGGAGCAAATTTTTGGATATCTTTTTTTATAATTACAGGCTACAGGTACTAACTGCTGTTTTTTTTATCTACGACCAGATTTCATTAGATTTTTGCTGTTTCTGGTTGCTTTTTCTTTGGCTTGCTTTCTTTCTGTTTTAAAGTTCTTTCCGCTTGGGGGCAACTTGTTAAGTAACCAGGATGTGTGTTGAAACCTGTTTGGTAACATTTCAATGACCTTGAAAAGGGACAGTCTTAATTATCAAAACACTGCAGGATGTTAAGGAAATTTAAATTTGCTTTAGGATCTATTTATATAATTAAACTTTCACCAAACACCTTGCTTTTAATGGGTATGTAATTTGTATAGTCATCATTTAATTTGTGAATCTAACCTATTTGAGAACTGTTGATTTACAACAGTTTAATCTACGTGGGAAATTATTTGGTTTAGGCTATTTGTCTAGATACTTTTTCTTCTAGAGTAAGGCAAAGTTCATGGAATGTACTATTTGTGGTCTAGCTTTGTAGGAATAGAGATTTGAAAATATGCATCTAAAAGCAACAATTAAGAAAGAAATTTAGTGAAAGATTCGGAATTCCATTCTACTACTTCTAAGTTGTATGCCCTTGAGCAAGTTAGTGTTCTTTTCTAAGCATCTGTTTCCTAATCCATAAAATAGGGATAGTAATAATAATAATAATAATACCAGTGCCCTGGGTTGTTGGAAGGATTAAATGAGATAATGTGTGAAAAGAGTTTTAACAAAGTGACTGACATAGCTTCAATCTAAACTACTATTACATTTGGAAGTTTTTGAATTTGGGTATGAATACCTTTTTTATTTAGTATTGTTTAACATAAAAAAACAGATTTTACTTATGCCTTTTATTTAAAGCTAACTACTCTCATGTTCTTCATTGTAGCCTTTCATATAATTATTTTATAAATTATATTTAGTAACATGTTTATCTGTATAAAACAATAGGGATATGGGGAACCATCTGTCAACTAATCCAGGGCTCTGCAGAGAAAAAAAATTGAAGTTAGAAATAATATATAGCCCCATATTTTAAGTGCAGGAAGCAAGTGCCTGAGCTCAGTTAAATATTTAGTTTTTCATTTTTTAGAAGCTGTCACATAAAGGGAATGCTGTTTGTCTTTTTCTGTACCAGGCTTCTGCCTTATTTTTACTGGTCCTTGCTTATTATATGTGCATATACAACTTGGTTTCCCATACCTCTTCACAACAGAATGATTAGCACTTGGTTGTATTATCAAAATCACAGTGGTTTATTTTATCTTTCTCTGTCTCTAGGATGATTGAGGAAAGTGGGAACAAGCGGAAGACCATGGCAGAGAAGAGGCAGCTGTTCATAGAAATGCGTGAGTCTTTGTGTGTTTCTGGAATTCTTGTTAATATGGATGGGAGAGTCTTCTTTCCTTTCTTTTTCTTTTCTTTTTTTCTGATCAAGTCACAGCTTTCATCAGTTAGAAGTTCTGTGTTACAAGCTTTAGAAAGGGAAGAATGGGTGGTAAAGAATCATGGAGTTGGAGGACCCCAAGCCAGAGTATGTATTTTGATTGGATTGACTTGAATTGCTTTCTTAAGCAAAGTCATGAATTATAAGGCAGAAATGTTACCTGGAATATTTGTAAGTTTAAGGCATGCCAGTCAATTTAGACCATGAACTTGCAGGTGGTGATAA